GGGAAATTCAAAAGTACTAAAGAAAATGAAGAGTTCAACATAAACAATCTCATCACTTGCCATTCAACCAATGTAGTGTACCTGTTGGAATGTCCATGTGGCCTCAATTATGTGGGCCGCACAAAACGTAATCTGCATATTAGAATAGAAGAGCATATAAGGAACATTAAGAAGGGATATGAAGGACACAGTGTATCCAATCATTTCAAGATTACACACAACAGCAATCCTCAGGGGCTCATATTTATGGGCATACACAAAACTTTAGGAAATTGGAGAGGCGGTGATTTTAACAAAATTTTAGCTCAAAATGAAATGAGATGGATTTTTAGCCTTGGGACTTTACAACCCAAAGGTCTAAATATAGATTTCGAACTCTGTCATTTCCTTTAATTATCCTTAACATATATTCAACAGTATCATATTATATCTGTACCATCTGCAATATTATATCTGTACTATCAAAATTTATGCCATTTGGTTTTATGTCCTCTTATAAAATGAAGTCTTGAAATCCAATGGGAGAAGTTTGTCTTGATTGCACTCTCTCATCCAGTAAGTTTTTAATCGACCCCCATTTTGGTAATCCCTTTTATTTTATATTTGAGGGAAATCTCTCTGTTATTGTACCTATCTATCTATTTCACTTTGTTAATATGCATTCCGTTTTTTTTGTTTTTTTTTTATTAACAATGACATTTGGGAAGATGTTGGAGGGCGGAAGTGATGTCACTTCCGCCAACCACTGCCCTAAATGGGTGCTATACATGATAGCCCCATCCAATCACCAATAGAATTTGTTCTAATCAAGTTTTTTAATTGATTGACAGGCAATTCAGCCAATGAAAGCCTTTTTACCACAGGTGATCAGTATAAAAAATTTTGAGAAAGATAGCCCTATCCAACCACCAATAGAATAAGTTTTTTAACTGATTGACAGGCAATTCAGCCAATGCAAGCTTTTTTACCACAGGTGATCAATATAGGAAATTTGAAAAATACAGCACCATCCAACCACCAATAATAATCAAGCTTTTTGATTGATTGACAGGCAATTTAGCCAATGTAAGCTTTTTTACTACAGGTGATTAATATAAGAAATTTGAAAGAGACTCTGATCTTATGATTGGATAATCACACATCCTGTGACCTCAAAGGGAGGATCCGAATCAACTTTAGAGCACTTATAAAGTGGAAGATTCCTGAGGCTACTTCACAGCTACTGAGGAAGCTCATACAAGAGTGAAACGCGTTTAGCTGGAGTTTGGACTTTTATACTTGGACTTTCCATCATTTAGCTTATGTGCTTTTGAGAAGTCTAAATATTGTTTTTATTATTATTTTTTTATCTCTACAATAAATTGTTATTTTTTTATATATTAGTCCATATAGTCCTTTCTAGCCTTCAGGAACACCATGTGGGGAATGCTATCCCAATAAATTAGCACATTGCCAACAAACCTCAGAGCCAGGAATTCAAGGCTCTGTCTAAGGTGAGCATATCTATTACTATCTCACTATATTGTATACACCATCTGTACAATACCATCTATGAGGTTCTCTCTCTCTGTTTGTTCCATATCTTCGGGAGAATATCGTTTGGGATAAAGGGGTGTGTTGCTGCCTCAAGAGCAAGAAGGAGTCACTTACGGAGCCAATAGCTTATAGGCTCCAACCCACGTGAGTGGTTTCAACCAATTGCTACCATTATTCATTTTTTATTTTTTTGTAAACCATCTGCACTATATTCTCTCTTTTTGTTGTTTTACTTTGTATGTACATTTGGACACATTGTATCACTATGTTGGAGGGGTGAGTATACCCCCTCATTATTTATATATATATTCAATATAGCGCTCCACTTGCTGGTATATTGTTTATACCTTTTTTTCTTGTATTTTGCATTTTCTTGTATTTTGCACTTCATTGTGGATTAAGGTATTCCACTTTTTGTGTTGAGCTGCTTTTATTCAGGCACTTTAGTATATCACTCACTATCTCAGTAAGGGATAGTTTTTGTTTTCTTTGCAATATACTCTATTTAGGGTTGCTGTTGGGGACAAACTAATTGTGGCAAACCTGGCCACTTCAGACTATTTTGTTTATCTTTGAGGGTTGCCCTAGAAAGACTGGTTTATATATGATGTTTGAAGTGTTTGCTTAAAATGTGAAAGAGGGAATTCGTATGCTAGTGGCACGAAAGCCGCTAGCATTCATATGGTAGTTTCACGAATAGTGATTTTCAACACTGTTCGTGAAATGAACAAAGTACCGAATGGGAGCCCACACACAGGGGGTCGTGTGGCTCCCATTAACCGATTGCAACAATGTATCCATCGGCTGTTAATTGATTCACAGGGTGGCCGTCGTTCGGCTACCGACCACGAGGTGGCGGCCATCTTGGGTTCCCTTTTTGCCCAGCGGTGTTTGGTCATCGAGTGCCTGGAACTAAAAATCGGGTACTCGACGGCACGAACACCACAGGACTTCAAGGCCGTTCGGGAGCGTCGGTCTTTCGGTACTTTTTCCCCCACTTGTGTACTCGTGACTTTTATGAGGAATGTATATTGAAGTGTATTTCGTGCGGCATTCGGCTGATTGTGCTGGGATCTGAGTGGTACTTTCACGAAGTATGCGCTCAGACCCCAGCTATCTGCCGAACGGTCTTTCAGTACAGTGGCACGAATAATATGTAAGTTATGGATTTTTATATAAAAAGCCGGTTCTGCTGTACAGAGGGATAATCTACTTAACAGGATATTCTAATGGAAGTATCCCTCTCGTACAGCAGTGCACGGTGGGAGAAATGTTCTGTATGTTAAGTCCCCCATGTAGTCCCCTACTGTACAACCCCTGTAAAGTCAGTAAGGAAACCCCTTGCATGGGGAACCACATAAATACTGGAGTTTGTGAATAAAATCGTCAGTTGACTCCCAGAACTGTGTTTTGTCCAGTTACTGGGGGCATTTGGGATATTGCCTTCATTTTCAGCGCTTTTCTTGGATTACCTTATTTTACCAGCGGAGCTATTGGGATTTAATATTGCAGCTCCGCTACACTAATGGAAGCTCTAATGCCAACTCGGGAGATTAGAACACAGTTACCATTTTGTGATATTTTTTTTTGCAATGTGACAACAATGCAGGTCCTTCCTAACTCCAGTTATACCAGCACCAAGAGATATCCAAAGTGAACAGATGGAGACCCATTGGATCTCACAGGAAGAATTGTTCATTTTACATTTTATCGGCTAATTAATGATTCAGAGCAGGAATGGTTGTCGCAGAACTAGAAGTCTTGATGTTTTTGCCATCCCTGGTTCAGACACTATTTAATAAAATAAAATTGTTGCCTCAGAGGCCTTACCTGAACAATAAGAGGATACCCTGATCTTTTTCATTGTGTCAAGCAGTGATCGAGAACGCCCTACTTAGTTCCAGGCTCTCAAATGTTCTTTCACTGGAATCTCCAGCACAGCTGTGGCATCTGGGATTTAAATGGAATGATATTTTGTTAATGGAATTGTGTGTGCATCTAGGACAGATCCAATACTGGCACAATGTTTGTAACAATATATTCATAGCTAGAACCAACTGATAATACATCCCCGAGTCAGGAAAAGACAAAAATATACAAAAGGTAGTCTAAATCATTTTGTGTTGCAAAGACAGATTAAATGGTGACGCTTTACGGAGAGTCTTGGCCGTTACAGTCTACAGCATCCTAACCACCCCGTATTACTCCAATTCTTATTCCTTTTTAAACCCACAAAAACCTGTGCACTATCCCAAATCCCTAGGCACATGTGAAGGGCCACTCTACACTCATGAAACACTTCACCTTGCTGTAGTGCTTTATGGGTGAGGAATGCCCATTTAAAAGGCACTTTTATAAAAGTAATAGTTTGCCAATTAGCATCTTGGCTTCCCCAACCCTCAAGGCGGCCCAAGCTCAGACTGCTCAATCCTAAAAATAGGTGGGTAGGATCACCGAACCTCCATAGTGATATCATCTGGTCCGAGCACACCTGATGACCACACATCACATAACTAGACACAAGATTCCCCGTTCTTGGAGAATTGGGGATACACTGAGCCAATGGCAGACTGCAGAAAGCTTAAATTATCAACCAAATTGGTTGTTTATATAGTCCTCTTTTTTAAAAAAATATTTCATTTTTATTGTTATTGCAAGGTCACGGAAGTACAGAAGTTCAAAAACATGACATCAGACTAATACAGAAGAGAAAAGTTACAAAGTCACATAACATAAACATGTCTTGATTGTTAATTGCAACAATATCAGGCCCTCGCTACACGTGTTTCGAGATAGGACTATTTCCGTTGTCCGTGCGTTTCCTAGCGTCAGCTAGATAACACCCTAATGCTGAGCCTCTGGATTTTAAGCGACCTTGGTTTTATTTGCACATACAAAGATAAGTTAAATGAGATCAAAATTACATAAATGAGGAAGCTAAACAGAAAAGGAATAAACTAAAAAGAAAAAGCATGTCACGCTTATCAACACCTAATATGGGACATGCTGTCATGCTAAATAAGTGATGCAGAGCTTACCAAACCAACTCTAGATACAGCGCCGAGCAGCTGGCATCCATCTTAGTCAATCACCATTTTTAAAAAAATATATATTTTTTTTTAATTGTATATTTTTTCCCATTTATTTTGGGGGGGGGAGAGGGGGAGAAGGGGTCGATAGGAGAGAGGGAGAGATATCAGTTCATAGCAAACTGTGCCATCTGGACCATATAAGATCATAAGTCTCCATGGTGGCCGCTAACCTGTGTGACATTTCTTCGTATGACCTAGTGTGATTTATTTTGTCAATGACCATCGTCAATTTTGGTCATTTTGTGGATTTCCACAGCCCAGCCAGCAAGGTTTTTGCCACCTGCATTATGTGTATAGCCAAAGCCGTGGCATGTTTGGGAAATGTGTTGGGTAACGTGTAATAGGTAGGACTCCGGCGTGAGGGTGACCTGCCCGTGCTGATCTCAACTAGATTTTGTATCTGTTGCCAGTAGTTTGTAAGAGCTGGACAGTGCCAGAAAATAGGAGTCAGTGTACCTGTATCCCGACAGCAGCGCCAAAAGGTTGGCTGGGCGCCTGGGTAAATGTGTGCTAGGCATTGGGGGGCGAGGTACCACCGCATCCATAACTTGTAAGCTGCCTCTATATGGTCCAAACAGTGAGTGGCTCTCTTCACTCCTGCCATTGCGGTATGCCAGCTGCTCGGCTTCATACTCCGGTTAAGTTCCTTTTCCCATTGTTCGAAATATCTTAGCTTAGATGGTCTGCCCGTTACCAATAGGCCTTTATAACACAGAGATAATGGCTTAGGGAGGCCCTGGATACCCAAACACAGTTTATCAAACGTACCCAGTTCTTGGGAGTCTAGTGAGTTCAACTTATCCTTTATAATATGTTTGATACACATATATGTGAAAAGTTCTCTGCTGGGCAGAGCATAGGTCTGTTGTAAATCAGGGAACTGCCAGATTCCTCCCTCTCCCAGTAAATGTGTCACTTTCGTGATACCCCGTTGCGTCCAATTGCTCAGTGGT